GAGGCTTTCTAGAGTCTGGTCCCTACAGTCTGAGTCTTGATTTCCTCGTCTCCAGAAGTGGAATCTAAATGACTGCCTAACACCTGTGGGGACTAGGATCACCAGAGGGACATGGATGGAGCTATGACTGGCTCAGCACCTCCCAGCTGGTGTCACTGACACCATCCCTAAGAGGAAGCACAGTAAGAACAAATATGCTCCTACTCCCTGCCAACATTTCCTTTGTTTGCTCTACTCCTCCAAAGCCCTTTCTGCTTTTCCCCACCAGGATGACAGCTCTGTCCTCATGGATTAATCCTGCTGTGGATACATGCCTCCTGCACTCCAGCTCCAAGTTAGGTCTCTCCTAGTTCTGGCTTAGCTGCTCAGTTAAAGGATTCTCCCACTTTGGCAGAGATGAATGTTCTGGCCCGTGGATCCCCAGTGTGTGCTGCCAGCTGTTTATCTGTCCTACAGATAAACATGTTTTCTTCTGGAAGAGTATCTCAAATGTCTCTCAGTTTCTTTCTGGCATGGAAGGACACGCAGGTGATTCCCCCAGTCTCAGTGGAGGAAGTATTCACCTGGTCTTCCAAAGGAAGTTCAAACCCATTACCATCTTTGTGGACATACATTTCCTGGTGATGACTGCAGTGATGATGCTGCAGGTTCAGATGCCTGTGAATGGTTGTATCCAATTGTGGTTTCACCCTGCCACGCATACTCCTGCAGATGCAAGTCCAACTGTGTGACAGTGAGGAGCAGCATGGGCATGAAGTGGGGGAACTGTGAGACAGATCCAAAGAAACTAATGAAATGAGGAAAATCTGGGAATGATTACTTTGAGATTCATTTCCATCGGGCCAGGTCTGATAGCCCCGCCAGGCCTCTCTGTATCTGTGCTCCAGATCCCACAGGAAACTCTGACCAGCATGTTCCAAGCAAAACTTAAAGAAAAAAGTCCTGCCTTGCCCAGTACTTGGCTTGTCGGCCGAATCTTGACCAAATCTTACCGCAGGGAACAGAGGGCCAACATGCATTCTGCATGTGTTCCTATGCAGAACTACATCAGTCCCAGAGGCCCAGCCTCTGTTACAGCAAGGTCCTTCACTAGCATCAGGAAGGAGTGAGAGATGGATGACCACATCTGCTGAGCTCTCCGTCCTCTCTGTGTGCTGAGGTGGTGGGAGGGAGCTCGCACAGCATGAAACTCACTCAGGCCAAAGATCAGTCCAACACTAAGCACCACTTAAGTGCTATTTAAGTGCCTGTAGCAGGCGTAAGAGGAACAGAAGTGTCTTTGCAAGAGTGACGGTCATCCCTGGTGAACAGCCTGGGTTTATTTCCAAATTATGCTCCGCTTTTGAGCTGCACAGCACTGCTCTCATCCTGCTCACTCCCTACAGTCCTGCTGCTTCCCTCCTTGTGACAATACTGCAGAAAAGAGTAGACAGTAGGCACAGAACACAGTGTGTGCTCAAGGAGCAACCCAGAGGGACAAGTGGCTCTTCTCCCAGCAGGTATGCCTGTCAGCTTGCCCAGCAACCTCAGATCACACAACAAAGGAGCACGTTACTGTGCATTCCCCAGAGCAGCTGGGTGAATGCTACTGAGACAGCCTGAATTGCCATTTTGCAACTTCTAACAGTTGAGACCTCAACTAACATGTAAGTGATATTTTTGCCTTGATGCCTGTCTTTCAGAAAGAGACACAGAATATACTTTGAAAAGCACAGAGTCAAAATGGAGCTCTGTTTACACGAACATCCAATGTCCAAAGTCATCTTTGAGGGTATCTTTCATACCACAAAACACAGTGACATAAGGAATAAACAAACCTGCTGGGGTACTAGTTTAAAAGAAATGCCTCCCATTCTGCTGGTTTATTCTGGCTTCATTGTGCCACCAGTGTCCCAAACCCACTAGAACACAGTGGTGGATTTGACTCAAAAGATAACCTTTTGAAGAGTTTCACAACCCTGGTAAGAGCTGAAACAGTAAGAGCTCTGTGAGTGTGGCCATAAGACCGTAAATGAATGGATGGGTCCCAGCAGGAACAACCAGAAATGCTGGACTGGACAGGGGATGGGCAGGTGGAATTGATAAGCAAACAGTGTGTGACAGATGAGCCTCATTTATGGCAGGTCCTGTCTGGTGGAAAAAGATGAATAAAGTTCTTTCAGTTCAAGAGCAGGAGGCAGCCTCTTGAGCAAGCAGAGGCTGATAGTGTAGGCAGTCATTGTATGTGAGTCTGGTTAGCTAGATAAAGTAAAAAAAAAGCATTTCTTGTTCTTTGGAGATGTCCCCTCCACGTATAAAGCAGACACCACTCACCTTAGGATTTTCCAAACCAAACCATCACATAATCACAGCCTCATGCAGGCTGGGAGGGAGCTCAGGACAATTCTAATTGAACCCCTCCTCGGGATGGGGCCAACACTTAATGTAGAGCGGGTTGCTTTGACCAGACAGGTCTTGGAAACCTCCAGGGCTGGAGATTCCACCACACCTCTGGGCAGCCTCTTCCTCTCCTGTGTCCTCACAGTGATAAATTGTTTCCTTATACTCAGTCTAAACCTTCCCTGTTCTGATTTACGAGCGCTGCCATGCACTTATGTAAAGAGCCTGGCTCCACCTTCTCAGCACGCTCCTCACAGGGCAGGCAGGCTGCTGCTGGGTCCCTGCATCCCCACATCCGTGCCTCAGCTCCCCTCCGTCCCTGCTGTTGCACTCCTGCATTAGCTAGCAGCCCCCTATGCACTCTGCTGGCCCAGGGCCACCCAGGACTCCCAGCACTTCTTTCCTCCTCTCAGCCAGTGAATGCCAACTAACCGTCCCAGCACAGGAGACAGTCCGTCCCAGGAGCAGCAGTCAGCATTACTTTGCTGCATGTCCTGAAGTTCCTGCTGAGCCATCCCTACAACCTGCCTGGGCTCCTCTGCATGCCAGCCCCCTCAGTTCAGACTTTGTTCCCTGCTTCAAGCACACAGAATTCTCTGAGGACACATCTACTAAGGACAGAGGTACTGTCCTTACTCCTTCCTTTCTTCTGTCCTTACTACAGTCACAACTTCAGATGAACAACGCAGAAAACCGTTTCTAAAGAAATGAGGTGATTTATAAGAGCGCAACGGCTCGACAAAAGCGAGTCGTTCAGGGCCACGTAATCCATGTGCCAAGGAGCACAGCCTCTGCACTGAGCATCATTCATCCTTTCTGCTTCTGTTCTGAATAGAAGGAATCATCCCAGAAGAAGTCTCACACAGGCATTTTATGGCCAAAATTCCTGGCTCTTCTAAGAAAAATACTTGCTGAACAATATCTGGAAAAGTTTGCCCATCTATGAAGCAAAGGCACTGGCAACTCTGCGAGCTATTGTGCACGGTGATGCACTGCACAGTTCTGTGTGAAAAGAGCTCAGCACATCTCCAGCTCCTGGGAGGTTTGTTGGACTTAGCAGGAAAATGTCAGTGTATTCCTCCCTCCCGTGCTGTCATGCAGCAGGGGAACAAAGAGGCTGATGCACTATGTTCTGGTGCACGTATCAGCTACAGATTCAGTAGGTGGGAAGCAGCTACAGAATCTCCTCTGCTTATCTGGGAAGGGAAGGAATCTGCCAGACTCTCTCACTCCAGCAGAAGTTAGTGGTGCTGGCAGCAGGGGAGAAATCCACGCAGTGTTCCTTTTTCTAACTGCAAGCTGAGGACAGTAAGAGCAGAGCTGCCACACTGGTCGCTGCCTGCCTGTGGTCACAGCACACGGAAGCACACTGTCCTGGCAGGTGGCACCAGATGGCACTCTTACACAAAGGCTTCTTTTTCTCATGCTCTGTTTGCAGGCAAAAGTTGTGTTTGAACTACAAGGAGGGACCATCTATACAGGTAAGGGTTTTCCTGCCTTCTGCTTGCAGCCTGTGTTGCACAGAGGTCAAAGGACTGGTGCCAAGACAGAGCATTATCACGGAGATAAGAGAATAAGCAGTCGTGGTACAAAGCACTCTAGGTTCAGAACAGCTGCACCCACAAGGGGTGCACAGCACATAGGGGAAGCACGAAGCTCTGACCCACTCGGAGCAGACAGGGCCTTGCATGGCTCCACTGCTGCCGCTCCCAGGCACGGCACTGCCTTGCAGTAGGAGCTGGTGAGGCCCCTGGGAGACAGGGCTGCCTGCATAATCTCTTTCCCAGACTCAATGTGTCTCCACACCCCAGTGTGCTGCACTTCACATCTATGCAAATTCTGCATCTCTACTTTCTTCTCCACGTCAGAATCAGAGCAAAAGGCTTTGGCTATCTTCTGTGTAGCAGAGCACAAGTTACCCAAGGGCTACAACCTTCCCCTTCCCACCTCCTGGAGCGGTGCTGTGGTGCTGGCATCCCCCATCGGGATGTCCTCGGGGATGCTCAGAGCTGTGCGGGAACAAGGAAGGATGCTCCCCATCTCACACCGACCACCACTGGAGCACTGGGGCCCCTCCTCTCCTGCCCCAGGACAGAGGGGCAGCAGATTTACATCAAGAGCTCACCGGAACAGCACAGCTCCCATCTCTCGGCAGGGTAGCGAGGGAGGGAGCTGCGGGGTTCGGGGCTCACAGGGCTCCTCGGGGAGGCCGGGCAGCTTCCTCAGAGGTGAACAATGCCTCTTTGGTTCTTTGGGACTGGCAGCAGCTCTTTTTCCTAAGTCACTCTTCCTCTCGCTCTGCTCTCTAAAGCAAACCGTCCCAGCCCCAACGCCGGGACGGAGACGCTTTGTCTCCCCGCCGCTTCTCTGCCCAAGAAGTTGGGAGCAGCCGGGAGGGAGGACCCCGCGTCCCGTTGCCCCGCCGTGCTCCAGCGCTGCCCGATCCGAGCACCCCCGGCCGCGCTCCATCCGCCCCGCCCCGCACGTTTCTCCCGGAGGCCTGAGCGCGCCGTCAGGGCAAATAAGGCGGAAAAAAGGAAAGCCGACCGAGAGCAGAGGGCTGGCAGCGGGCTCTCGGGGCGGGCACCCCGGGCTGGCCGCCGCCGGGCAGCGCCCCTTACCACATTGCTGAGGAAATCCGCCTCGCTGAAGTCGCCCAGGTCGAGGAAGCCGGGGCCGGCGGCGGGGAAGAGCCGCTCGGCGGCGAAGGGCTCCAGGATACTGTCCATGGTGCCCGCGGCACGGGGCTCCGCCGCTCCCCGGCCGGGCTCACAGCGGCGGCACGGTCCCGCCGCCCAACGGCCGGCGGTCCATGGATGGGGCGGCGGGGCCGGGTGGGAGCGGGCCGCCCGCGGGCAGAGGAGCGCCGGGGAGCGCCGCGCCGGTGCCCGCTCGGGGCAGCTGTCAGTGCCCCGCTGCGCTGGGGCCGGGCGGGCAGCGCCGGCGGCCGGCAGCGGCACGCCCCCGCCCCGTGCTGGGGAACCGCGGGCGGGACTTGGCGGGCCCACACCCCTTAAGGCAGCGCGGCGGCGGCGGCGAGCAGCGCTCCCCTTCCTTCGCTCCGGGCGGAGCCGCGCAGAGGGGTCCGAGAGCCCCTGGGGGCGGCGCGGTCCCCCACGTGGGCCCGGCTGTGCCGGCCGTTCGGTAACTAAGGAGCTGGGCACCGGTAAGGAGCTTCGGGAGGATTATGCGGCTTCGGATAAATGGGATTGTGCATCCCCATCCTCTGATCCTTACTCCAACCAGTACTCGGAAAACCACTTAAAATGATCGTGCAGAAGAAGCCTCGATGTGTCGTTGATCTGCCCCTGCGTCCGTGGCTCCACTCGATGGTCCCACTGCTTCTTGGCTGTGGGCGAGTGGAGGAAGAAGTCAGGCAGCAGTGCTGTGCTGCTGGTAGAGACCCGTTGGGAAAGGCCTCGGCGCAGACACTCTGGCCTGTTCAGGCCCCGGTGTTCCCACACACAGCCATCACGGGCTCTGTGTCCCCGTGCATCCCAGCACAGCCCTGGGCACACCTTGGCTGCTCTTCATAGCACTGGCCGCACTCTGCTCCCACACACAAAGGCCTTTATGCTCGCACGCACAATGGGCTCTTTCAGTTGCATTTACTTTTACCTTATGTTTCAGTCAAGTGTGAAGAGCCTCTGGGTGAAAGGGGCCAAAGACATAAATTCAGCCAGGATGGGGTTGTGCTGCTCTTCCCACGGCACATATTCTTACGTATATGAAGGAGGAATGGTATTTGGAAACCATCTACACAGAATGGACACTGGGAACTCTCCCACGAGGGCCACTTGCTGCAGATGTTCTGGCTTTGAGGGGGATGCTCCCACCTCCTGTCCTGAGCTGAACATGGATATCACCTCTGTCACCATTATGTCTCAGCTGAGCACACATGGGAAGGCTCTCCTTAAATGCCAGAGGGATCAGGCCGCTGCAGTCTAAGCACAAGTGCATGCACCAGCATCTTTGGGGCATTCAGGCAGGTGCAGGATGACCACCATCATCTCTTCATTCCCATATTGTGGGGAAAAATAGTAGCAGGCTTGCTCCTCAGCAAAAAAACTTCAGGTCAATTCACAGGAACCCCCTGGGGTTCCCCTGATGAGGTGCTGGGATGCAGCAGTGCTTGTCAGAGCACCCTTTATGAGCACATCTTGTAGCTGCCTCTTGTCCATAGGTGGGGCTGATCCAGAGGCAGCCCAGGGTAGAGATGGCACCTGGCAGTGGCTCAGGCTCCTTTTCAGCCCAATTTGCCTCTGATTTTATACTTAGATTAGTTGCAATCTGATTGCAGCAGGAAACTGAAGCAGCAGCTGGGTGTGCTTTGACAAATGAAGTCTCAAACCAACAGCAGATAAGCTTTCCTGGCTGTAAGGCATTTGGTGCGGCAGATGCACGTGGATGACCAAGATGGCCTTATCACTGCTGATAAGAAAATGATCAACCCTAAGTTGATCCTAAGTTTTAGGAACCCAAGTTCCTAAAACAAAATCATCCACTCCCCTGTGCTCCTTGCCTTGCCGCAACCCGGGCACTGCACAGCCTGCAAAGCCAAAGCTGCAAAGCTTTCTCCAGAGCGAGCCAGGAGGTTTCACAAATTCACAGATGAGTGTTTCTTGAGGAATGTGGGGTAAACTGTGTACGTCAGTGGTTTTTGCTTTGCTGCATGCATAGAGCTTTGCTACAGGAGGGGTTCTGGCTGGTCTCTTCACACAGAGTGCATGGTGAGGACAGGAACAGGACCTGATCGCATCCAGGATGAGGCAGAGCAGTAATAGGCAGCCCTGCAGGACACAGAAGCTACAGACCCAGTACTCAGGCTGTGATTTCTTCATTTAGTTTCTGTGGGAACAATTTAAGACCTGTGAAAAAGTGATGGCACGAAGTGGAGTCTGGAAAAATCACCTTCTAGCAAGAGGCAACAGTTGAGGAAGGATTCATGGGTGCTGGAGCTGCCCCTTGCCCTCCGTCCCACAGCCCCTCCTCAGCCAGGAGATCCAGCTCTATTTGGGTTCCCTTCCAGCAGTGGATCCCAGTACTGCATCCTGCAGCTGCTCCCAGCCCTAGCCAGGTACCTGCACACTGCTGCTGCTGCTGCTGCTGGGAATCACACCCAGCACAGCCATCTGCAGCAGGGAATGGGTGTCTGTGACCCTGTTGTGGGGAAGTGCAGGGGAAGATGAAGAGCTTACTAATTGTGTTTGCATACGGTAGGGATACATGAATGCTGTGGTTTCTGTGAGCACCCTGGCGCTATGCAGGGAATGACAGGGATGCTGCAGAGCTTGGTGCTGTAGTTATCCTTCCTGAGGTGGACTTGAGGCCCTTGGAGAGATCCCAGCCTATCTGAGCCAGCAGTAGCAGGTGGGGACTGGAAGTTCAGGGCCTGGGAACAGGCAACAGGAGGCATTTGGGGCACGTGAATGGCTGTGGGTGCTCACACCGTTGCACAGGACAGAACAGGACAGGCCCCAGTAGCAGCAGGCTGTGCTGGGAGCAAGGACAGCATCTCTACCCTGCCAGGGGTTAACAGTGAGCTCCGGATCCGGGAGCAGCCCACGGAGGAGAAAAGCACAACCCAGTAATTCAGGCACATCTCACTCCAGTTCAAATGACATTGTTTCAGTCCTGTCTGCCTCGCCCCTCAGTGGTAATTACAGACTTTCACAAATGGAGAATGAGGGACACGGCGGAGGAAGCCTTCATTACAGGCTTATCTCCCAGAGCAAAAGTGCGCCTGGCGTAATGTCTGGGGCACACTGCCAGGGTCGACCACCAAAGCAAAATGCTTCAATTTAGCACAAAAATAAAAGGGAGAGAAGTGTTAAGTGATTTGGGAAGATCAGAACCTCACAGAACTGGCTGCCAGGCTTGGGGAGAGCTCTGGAGGAGCTGGCAAGCTGCCCTGGTCTGAAGCACTGTGGTTTACATCTCTTCCTTCCTTCCCTCCTTTCTTCCTCCCATCCTCCTCAGGCAAGCTTCATGGCCACTGGTGGTGGCACAAGGGTGTGCAGGAGGAGCGGGTCCCAGCAGGGAACCCAGAGCCTGCTCCTGCTGTGGAGATGGCACCTCGTTTCCACAGGACCCGGGGCTTGCATCAGGAAGGTCCTTCAGGCTGCAAGGCACTGTCCCCACACGGCTAACGGCAGGATGAGAGGGAGAGGAGACGGAAAGCCTTCAGTCTGATTGCTGTTAGGATGCTTCTGGGGATCGAATTTTAATTGTTCCTTCCCGCTGGGTGAGCGAGCACAGGAAGAGATTTACCTCCTGGCCTTTCCACTTGGGCATGTTGACATTTCCAGGCGGCAGTTTTCTCTGATGGAGCGCTTTGACGTCAGGTGGGCTGATTACAGCCTGCGGTGCCTCTGACTCATTTGGCGACGGCCTGCGTGGGGGACCTGGAACGTGCCTCTCTCTCTCTATCGCTTGTTACGGTCGGCTTTAAATAAATAAAGCCGAGCTCGGCTCACAACTTCGGGGAGACGCTGTGCTGCTCAGCCTGAAGCACTCATTGCCATGGCAACAGATGCAGAAATGTCGCTGCGCAGCCAGCTCCCCTGCCCCGCTCCTGCCTGCCCTGAAGGGCCCAAACAGGAGCAGAGTGTGCCTGCGGGCAGCCACGCAGGGGAGAGCCTCCTCAGGGGGTCGGGAGTCCACTGCCCACATCTCTGGTGTCTCCAGGAACAGGAGATTCAGGGTTGGATGGCAGATAGGGATAACAACATTCCCAGATCTATTTCCTTCTCCAGGCGCTGTGGGACATCCAGGGTATTTCCTATTGCAGTGTCCTGGGATGCTGGGAATGTGGGAGATCCTCACCTTCCCTGCACTCTCCTTGGGTGACTTCTGGTGGTGGCAGAGGACAGGCTGGAAGTACTCTCTGGCCACAATGCAGGCACAAGAAACCACTGCTCGCTGGTTTCAACCCTCTTATTTTTAGACCACCCTCAGAGCCCGAGCCACAGATGACAGATTTCACTTTGGGGGTGCACTTCAGGGAAGCATTCAGCCCCCACATTGAGGTACGGTCACACCAGCGTTTCAGCTTCCAGCTAGCAAAGCAGCAGTGGCAGAGGGAGCAGTCAGTGGCAGGTCGAAGCAGCAAAGGCTCACATCCTGCTGGAGCATTCAGAAGGTGCAGAATACACCTCAAGCCAAACATCCCATCTCCTAACATAGATCAGTAGGACCAGAGAACATTTCTTATGTTAATCCTCGTTGTGCAGGTTTAATGCTTCTCCGGCTGGGGTGCTGAGTTTGTTTGCTGCCACAGATGGTTTGAAAGTAACCTCACCTCCTGCAGTTGCTGCACCGTGTCACATCGGGGAAGTTAAAAACATGAGAAGGGTTGGAACATGCGAAAGATTTTTATGACTGCAAAGATTGAACCACATTTCCATGACAAATCACTGAAATTTGAGCAATCTAATTTACAACACAAATTCCTTTCTTTTGTGCGTCTTTCCCAACTCAAATTCAAGTCAGAGACTCCCTGGGTTCTGCTGCAGCTCTCATCTAGCAAAACTGTGGGTGTAAGATGAAAAAACAATTGCATGAGGTCTCCACGGCTGGTCCGTGATGACTCCAAACCCTAAATTGTTCATCCCTAGAGCATGGTTTACGACTGCAACAGATTCTGGAGGAGCCGTGTAACCAGTACTTAAATAAAGGGGAAGCAGCAAGCCCTCCTGCAGCAGTGGTATTTGTTCTGGGAAGGGCTGAC